GAATAGGGAAGTCGAGTATGACTGTGGCTGGAGCCTGGTGAGTGGAATGTGGACGACAGTCTGATGGGACAGTAGCCTTCCACAGCTAGGCACAGACCAAAGTGGAGGGGATGTGAGCAGGGCCTGGCAGGGGCCCTGAGGGATGTCACGTGGTTGATCTGATGGCCATGAGGTTGAGTGTAAAGCAGCTGTGACAGTGAGGGAGCTGGACTGCGGTGCAGAAGGTAACCAGAGTCCCTCTGTGGGGAGAAGCTGCTAGACCAAAACAGGAACAAGGGGCACACCCTGTGCTCCTGGGGAAAGCCCCAGAGATGGTGAGAGGGAAGTATGGTGAACAGCGGGGAGGGCTCTGTGCTAGCATGGGAAACTGGGAGGCACTGCTGGAGTCATGGGGGCTCTCCCTTCCCTCACCATTAGATCCTGGTGACTATTTATAATTAGATCTGGAGGAAGAACAAGGCCCTTCCATCTCCCACAATCCCAGACTCAGCCCCCCTGGAAGGGGCAAAGAGTGATGTGGGAGGGAGGTATGAGGGGTCTACTGAGTCTTCTTATCTTCCAGGGCTGGGTTGTGGGGAGGCAGTACCGAGGTGGCAGCGTCTGGTATGTGTGCATTTAGATGTGGTGTGGGTTAGGTTGTAATAGGCTCTGGCAGCTGCTCTTGGCTTTGGCTGCAGGAGTGGAGGGAATATTGGGACTTCTGAATGGAGTTTCCATGGGCCCAGGATAGGGCAGTGGCGTGAGGCTGCACCCATCCCATGGCACTGTCCATGATGGAAGGTGGAGGTGGTGCATAGAAGTACAGATGGGCAGGAGTACATTCCATTGCAACTGGTGAGGGGAAAGATGTAGGTCTTGCTGGGCGTGTAAGAAGATCCATTGGCTCTACGGGGGGGGGGGGGCATCAGCTCTGGAGGCTTCAAATGCCACCTGTAGCATCTGTTGTCCAAACTCAGTGGTACTCCCTGCTATAAAGGTACAAAACAGAGACTTCCCAGTCACCTTCTACACCAAACAGGATGTTTGATCTCATAGTCCTTCATCAGTGAAATGGCATCAGGAAGGACTGAGTGGCATCCTTCCTCTTGGATAGAAATGACCTGGTAAGGGGTAGATTGTATCTTTCTTGGTCCTTATTTTTTTTTTTTTTTTTGAGACAGTGTCTCACTCTGTCACCTGGGCTAGAGTGCAGTGGTCAGTGGTGTCATCACAGCTCATTGCAACCTCAAATTCCTGGGCTCAAGCAATCCTCCTGCCTCAGCCTCCCAAGTAGCTGGGACTACAAGTGAGCACCACCATGCCCAACTGATTTTTCTATTTTTTGCACAAATGGAGTCTTGCTCTTGCTCAGGCTGGTCTCAAACTCCTGGCCACAAGCTTTCCTCCACCCTCAGCCTCCCAAAGTGCTAGGATTACAGGCATGAGCCACTGCACCTAGCCCCCTTCTTGATTCTTTTAAAGGCCTCTGGCGTGTTCTTCTTGTCACTGAATGTAAGTTCCACATCATACTTGTATGAGACATACATGGGACATAAGGATGCTCTCACTTTTGCTGACAACTACTTTGCAACCCTCCAAGTGATTCTTGTTGAACCATAGTCTCCCCTATGTAAGGATACTCTTATTCTGAAGCTTGCACAGCTGCTTGTCCATATCAGGTTACTGAACAATAATCTAATCTTACATTTCAGGGATTATATGGAATAAAAGAAGAAATATTTCTCAGTATCCCTTGCATCTTGAGTCGGAATGGTGTCTCAGATGTTGTGAAAATTAACCTGAATTCTGAGGAGGAGACCCTTTTCAAGAAGAGTGCAAATACACTTTGGAATGTCCAAAAGGATCTAGAGCTTTAAAGCCTTTTAATGTTCCACTGTTTTATAGAACAGAAGATAGAAGACTGTATATTTTACATTATAAAAGTATTTCCATCTGATCTGTAAAAAATAAAAAAAATTGTAGAAGACCTATGACATAAATCCAATCTTTCAAGGTTAGAAAAAAGAAACTGCAAACAGATTTCTCCTCTTTATGAATCCTTTATAGCTCTAGTCATGTGATAGTCTGTACAGGTGTAAGCTATACTTGTGAAGTATGTCATACATGTAAGAGTTGCCTTCAGGTGAAGTAGAATATATAATATAGAATTTTTAATCCTTCTTACAAAACAACAAGCCCAGCTGGGTGTGGTGGCTCACCCCTATAATCCTAGCACTCTGGGAGGCTGAGGGGAAGTGGGAGGATCACTTGAGCTCAGGAGTTCCAGACCAGCCTGAGCAAGAATGACACACCGTCTCTACTAAAAATAGAAAAATTAGCCAGGTGTGGTAGCTCACATCTATAGTCCCAGCTACTTAGGAGGCTGAGACAGGAGGATTGCTTGAGCCCAGGAGTTTGGGGTTGCAGTGAGCTATGATGATGACATTTCACTTTAGCTAGGGGCGACCAAGCAAGACTCTGTCTCAAACAAAACAAAACAAACAACAACAACAAAAAAACCAAGCCCTTTATCTAGCATTGAAATTTCTTTTCTTCCTTTTTTGTTTTTGTTTTAGAGATAGGGTCTTGCTCTGTCCCCAGGCTGGAGTGTAGTGGCTTGATCATAGCTCTCTGCAGTCTTGAACTTTGGAGTTTGAACCATCCTCCTGCCCCAGCCTCCCAAGTATCTAGAACTACAGGCACATGCCACCATGCCAGGCTAATTAAAAAAAATTTTTTTTTTGTAGAGATGGAGTCTTACTATGTAGCTCAGGCTGTTCTCAAACTCCTGGTCTCAAGTGATCTTCCTGGCTCAGCCTCCAACAAAAGTGCTGGGATTACAGGTGTGAGCCACCTGGGCTAGAGTGCAGTGGCATCATCACAGCTCACTGCAACCTCAAACTCCTGAGCTCAGGTGATCCTCCTGCCTCAGCCTCCTGAGTAGCTGGGACTTAAGCTAATTTTTCTATATATATATATATTTTTTTTTTTTTTGTAGAGACAGGGGTCTTGCTCTTGCTTGGGCTAGTCTTGAACTCTTGAGCTCAAGCAATCCTCCTGCCTTGGCCTCCCAGAGTGCTAGGATTATAGGCATAAGCCACCATCCATGCCTTGTTACTTATTTTTAAGAAGATATATATCAGAAAACATAGATATAACTTTATGATGTAAAAATTTTAAACGAGATGATATATTCAACTCTGCAAGTATTATAGCAATTCATATAAACTCAAATAATTGATTTTGATGTCTCAGTTGAAACAGTATGCAGGAGCTTAGACCATCTTCTGGTTCATTTGTTTAGTAAACTACTATATTTGCTATGTTATGGTCATGAGGTCAATAAGATATCTCTACCCTTAAGTATCCACAATGAGCATTTAGGGTACCTCAACTAATTGATTATTGACTAATGCTTGATAACAGTCAATTGGTAGCTCCTTTTTGGTGTACAAGGTAGGAGTACATGTGCTTCTTGTGATTTATATAGTATAAACATATACATATATATCTATATATATTTCCTTGATTCTACAAAGACTTTAAGGCAGCTATAGGAAATATACCGTGAAACAAATTCTGACAAATTAGGACCAAGGTAATTTGCAAATTAGGACAGGATCAGTGGGAAAAATTAGAAGGCAGATATGCAGGCCCTGAGGACTTCCATGGTTCTAGTGGAGGCACACTCATTTGGTCAGAGAGTTGCAGTCCACCCTCATAGTCTGTTATTCTTGCTGTCTTCATAGCTTTCATTCTGGTCATCTACTACTGAACATGCTTAGTTTCCCATTATTTTGTTCTTTTTCCTTTATTTTCATGTGTTTCCTTGAATGCATAAAATATGGTTGAGTTTACTTAGGATGGAGGCAAGGGGAGTCTTCTGTGAGTTTTGCTTTTTTTTTTCTTTTTGAGACTGAGTCTCACTCTGTCACCCTGGCTAGAGTTCAGTGGCATCATCATAGCTCACTGTAACCTCAAACTCTTGGGATCAAGTGATCCTCCTGCCTCAGCCTCCCAGAGTGCTAGGATTACAGGCATGAGCCATTGTGCCAGGCCAGTTTTGCCTTTTTAAAAAACTCCTGTTTGTACACCAAATTAAAACTTCATTTTAGGAAATCCTTGCAAAGGATTGAAAAGCTGAAAAAGGGAATATTCTAGGAAGTAAAACTGTTCTACATCTTGTATTCTAAACAGGACAGTATAGTCCCCAGGGGAATGAAAATTGGTTCTTGGGGTATATGTGAAAAAAATCTTAGATATTACAAGGGTTTGTCACTCTGAAGCTCAGTCCTACCTGACAAATCTTATTCCTGAATATTTAATTTCACAATGGGGGGAAAATGTCTAAAACGGCTCCTGAGGAGGTCTATAATGAAAAAGTAGAAACACTGCTCTACATTTTATAAAAGAATTTGTCAGATGTGTATGTATTTTTGATTATGAGTTGGAAAACAGATAATTACATAAAATGTGGTGGGAGAAGAGAAATAGAAACCTTGGTCTCTTACAGACTAATTTTGGATTCTACATTTAACTACTTAATGAGTTGAGCTTTCCCTTCCACTTGTAGAAATGGTTACTCAACTGGTCAAATTCTTAGGGTTTCATATCTTATTTCAAAATGCCCTTTGCATAGAGAATTTTAATATTATTTTTTCTATTTCATCTCACATTTGAGGTGGTGAAAAGCCCTCAGGTCCCTTTCTCCTACGGCACTGCCGATAAATTTCCAAATGAGGGTTAAGAGCTCTTGTTGGATACATGCAGACAAGGTTTGGTTAGGAGTAAAACTACGTGTCTCACTAGTGCTTGGGTTCTGGGCAACAGCACTGGGTGCGCTAGCTAGCCGAGGCCCCGGCTGGCGGAACCTTCCCTAAGCCCTCTGACCAAGGAAAGATGAGCACGCCACAGGCACCAGGGGGCGAGGCGGCGAGGCGGCGGCAGGCAAACGCGCAGGCGCAGTGCCCCTGCCCGCGGCGGCCTGGCGCCTGCACCAGGTGTGCTAGGTCCCCGCGAGTTCCGCACGAGCTGGGCGCGGCCCTGAGCGGCTGCAGTGGCACGCGTGGCCGGCAGTTAGCGGGTCTGTGGTTTGCTCCCTGCCAACTCCTAGGAGCTGCTTCGAGGCTGCGCGCCTCCATTCTCTTTATGGCCTGTTGAATGAGTGGCTATGAGCTGGCTTGCGGGAGTACCGCGAACCAGCCAGAGCGTGGGCGCCCTGGGAGCCAGTTGCTTTCGCCCGAGGATGGCTCTTCGTCCGCGCCTGGCGCCACGCAACCTGCTCTGGGGCGGCTGGCCCTTCCCTCCTGTGAGTGTGGCTGGAGGTACCTGGCTCCTGGGCCTGCCGACCCGGGCCGGGTCCTGGAGTTAAGAGCTGGGGAAAGGGTGTAAGGGGAGAGAGAAGGGTGGTCAGCGGGAGGAGGGGAGGGACAGCCTCCCAGCTGTAGTCTCCTGTTCGGTGGAGCAGCCCCTTTCCTTTCCTTCACTCCCTCTTAACCGTACCCACCTTCCTTCTCCTTTCCCTGGTTCGCTTCATGGATGCTGGGCTGCTGGCCGGAAACTACCCCATGGATGCTTGGCCGGTCCCTGTTGTGTCTGCAGCACTTCTTTCCACACCCGGGCCCAGGAGTTCTCCTTGAGCGCTCTCTCACTACGGACCAATTCCAAATCTGGAAATGGCCTGGCAGTTTCTCTTCGCTCTGTTAGGTTTCCAAGATGGCAACCGTGAAGAGTGAACTTATTCAGAATTTCACTTCAGAGGAGGCCGTTCAGCACAATAAGATCTCCATTGTGGGAGCTGGATCGGTTGGTACGGCCTGTGCTATCAGCATCTTATTAAAAGTAAGCTATGTGCTCTGTGCCACTGGGTTAACCAAGATTTCCTCGGTTGGAGGCAAGGCCACTGCACATGGTTGTGCAGGGTTTGCCCAGTTCAGGGGGTCTGTGAGGGCCTTGTCCAGGGCCTGGGTTAGTTCAGAGGAAAAGGTGCCCTTTTCTAATTGTTCCCCCCAGAGGGAGTTTCTTCTCTAAATTGTATGGTGGTATCATATGTATTACAAGTTCAGTGAAAGTATGTTGACATTTCATTTTCACTCATGTAATGACAATAATGAGGTACCCCTTTGCTTGATTCGGAAAATCAGCTCACAAATTAAAAAAAAAACTGGAGAATTAGGTGGCAGAGGAAAGAGTGCACTACATGTCAATGATGGCAGGCATTCTAGTACGAAATACAATAATCTTTTTTCCTTTAACTATCTTTTCCATTTCCTGGTTTCTGTCTTTATTTCCCTTCCTAACTTATTATGTTAGGTTAGTTTTAATGTTTATCATTCTTAGTATTGATGTAGCTGATAAAGTAAGATTCTAGTTTAATGGCTAGAGACAGAAGACTAAAAAGATTCTGACCTCTTTCTAAGAATATTACCCTGATCTGAGCTCATAAAGTTTTAATAAATCATACGAAACTTTGAACTATACTTTGTTTTTTTTTTTTTTTTTTTGAGACAGAGTCTCGCTTTGTTGTCCAGGCTAGAGTGAGTGCCGTGGCGTCAGCCTAGCTCACAGCAACCTCACACTCCTGGGCTCGAGCGATCCTTCTGCCTCAGCCTCCCAAGTAGCTGGGACTACAGGCATGCGCCACCATGCCCGGCTAATTTTTTCTATACATATCAGTTGGCCAATTAATTTCTTTCTATTTATAGTAGAGACGGGGTCTCGCTCTTGCTCAGGCTGGTTTTGAACTCCTGACCTTGAGCAATCCGCCCGCCTCGGCCTCCCAGAGAGCTAGGATTACAGGCGTGAGCCACCGGGCCCGGCCTATACTTTGTTTTAATTAATGGAATATCTATAAAATTTCCTTAAGCCTTTTTTTTTTTGATACAGAGTCTCACTCTGTTACCTGGGCTAGAGTGCTGTGGCATCAGCCTAGCTCACAGCAACCTCAAATTCCTGGGCTCAAGTGATCCTGCTGCCTCAGCCTCCCAAGTAGCTGGGACCACAGGTATGCACCACCATGCCTGGCTAATTTTTTATATATATACTTTTAGTTGTCCAGCCAATTTCTTTCTATTTTTTTAGTAGAGACGGGATCTTACTCTTGTTCAGGCTGGTTTTGAACTCCTGAGCTCAAACGACCTGCCTGTCTCAGTCTCCCAAAGGCCTCCCCCCCCCCAAGGACTTTAATCCTGGCATGACTGACTGAATTTAAAGGATTGTCCCTGGGTTTTATATCTAGATGACATAGTGTCCTTATGGCATTAAGAGTAGCAGTTGCTGTCCACTACTGCTCTGGCCAATCATACAAACTCCCCATGACTCATTTTGTTCTACCAATAGTAATGTCTTTATCAGCAGTGTCCTCATTGCTAATACATATACGTGAAAACTAATATATTTGTATTTTTGGTTATTGGGGTTTTTTTGTTTGTTTTTTTAGAGAGAGGGTCTTGCTCTGTCACCCCCAGGGTGGAGTGCAGTAGTGTGATTACAGCTCACTATAGCCTCTGAGCTCCAGTGATCTTGCCTCAGCTTCCCAAGTAGCTGGAACTATAGGCATGTGTCACTATGCCTGGCTAATTTTTCTTTTTTCTTTTCTTTTCTTTTTTTTTGACACTCGAGCAGCTTTATTGTTTAACTCCACCGTATACATGAGTCCCCTGGCTAATTTTTCTTATTTTTTTTGTAGAGACAAGGTCTGGCTATGTTACTTAGGCTGGTCTGGAACTCCTGAGCTCAAGCAGTTCTCCAGCTGCAGCCTCCCAAGTTACAGGCATGAGCTACTGCACAGCCTACATTTGTTTTTAACATCAGTGATAACGACAGTATGCTTTATATACATTATCCTTTACAACAACCCTGAAAAGTAAATAGCAGATCTATTTTATAGAGGAGCAAAAAGGCACAGACCCTCTTAAGTTGCATGAATTGATAAATATACCGATATTGTATGTAGAAAAGTTTGAAGTAAAAGATTTATTTATCATCTCTACTTTTAAGGGCCTTTCTGGGAGGGATGGAGCCCTATCCCTAAAGAAAGTGATAACAGCCACAAGCTTCTAGAACTTGAATTCTATTAATTACATTGCAAACAATACCATTTGTATATCATAGAAAATGTGGTGCACAGACCCCCTGCAAAGCTCTAGATTAAGGCTCACTTTAATCTCTCCCTCTCTTTGCCCTAGACAGTGCGACTTCTTTCATTCATGGAGGTCGTGATATTTTAGAAAGTCCTTTCTTTCTTTTTTTTTTTATGAGATACTAGTATCCTTTTGTTCATTTGTTGTTTCAAATGGTCTTCATGCCCAATTCCTATTGGAGGTTCTTCATTAATCAAGTTAGTTTTCTTCTGCTTCCCCTTCCTAAAACTAGTACAGTGATGTGTATACAAATCTTAAATATTTAACACACTTATTGCTTTCTAAACATACAGTATTAATCTTTTCTTCCCCCTTAAGCCATGCAATCTCAAATGGGATTTGGAGTAAACAATGGCATCAGGACCACTGAACTCCATCACCACTTTCACCTGACCTCTTCATTCTCTATTTTCCCCCGTGTTTAAGATTAGCTCCTGACACTCCATGTTACAGTATATTGTTAAGATATAATATATGGGCCGGGCATGGTGGCTCACGCCTGTAATCCTAGCACTCTGAGAGGCCGAGGCGGGTGGATTGTTCTAGGTCAGGAGTTCAAAACCAGCCTGAGCAAGAGTGAGACTCAGTCTCTACTATAAATAGAAATTAATTGGCCAACTAATATATATAGAAAAAATTAGCCGGGCATGGTGGCACATGCCTGTAGTCCCAGCTGCTTGGGAGGCTGAGGCAGGAGGATTGCTTAAGCCCAGGAGTTTGAGGTTGCTGTGAGCTAGGCTGACGCCATGGCACTCACTCTAGCCTGGGCAACAAAGTGAGAGTGTCTCAAAAAAAAAAAAAAAGATACAATATATGCAAGTTTTTCACAAATCCTTGATAAAATTCATTTGGGATGCTTGTGAGAAATAGATTCTTCCACTTTTCTCCTGATTCTGATTTGGTAAGACTGTGGGGGACGCCTGGGAAATATATGCTACAAACACTCCAGGTGATTCTAAAGAATAGGCAACAGCACCACCATACTGGAGCCTCACTTATTTAACAGTGACTAGCCCATGTGTTGATAAACATTTCATGTTCCTTGCTACCATCAATCAGGTGGATCTGTGGCTAAGTCAGAAATTGAGAGGGTTGAAACTTTGGATGAAAGATGAGGGACAAATTTCAAAGCCAACTACACATCAGATTCTTGGACAGTTAAGGATTTTTTTTTTCTTTCTCAACTTAGAATTGAATTATTCTAATGCAAAAATCAGCAAATACTGATAGGCCATAATGTTCACACAGCTTCTACTTGGGCAGGCTTGGTAGTTTTCCTTCCAAATCATCTGGAAGTCAAATACTCCATTGTCTGAATTCTTCAACAGAAAAGCCTCTCCTACGACTTTGCAAGAGGCAGAGAGACATCCTTTGACTTCATCCTCCCTTAACTCCCTGGGCGCTAAATGAGATAATTGGTTGGAGTGGAACATAGGGTTTATGATTAAATTGAAAGCGAATAAAAAACCACAGCTCTGCCATTCTACCAGTTATACAACCGCTTTACTTAAAAAAGGAGTTCATTTGTTTCCTCTCAGGATTATGAAATGTGGCACTCAGCCCTCAGAGGTTCCCCTTCCCGTCACGTCCCTTTAGATGGGCAAGAAGAAAGCGCGGGCTCTCGGAGGGCTGGGCCAGGGCAGGTCACTGCGCCCCAGCCCGGGGCGGGGAGGCAAGAAGCGAGGACTGGTCGCAGGCGACAGGAGTGAGAAGAAGGAACAGGTAAGGAGAAGGGAGTGAGCTAGCGGCAGCACAAGAGGCCCAGATAGCCTCGGTCCCTGAGGATGCGAGGCTGGAGCTCAGGGATCCAGAGGTGAGAAGCCCGGAGGGGCGGCCATTACCTGCGTCCGTCCGAGCAGCTGCCGCGCGGCCGGGCCGCTCACCGGTGGCGCCCACGCCTGCCACAGCCCGGCCCCTCTGCGCCCAGCCTCGCCACGCCATCCTCCAACCTCTGCCCACCGTGGCCCGACCTTACCAACCCCAGCCGCCGAACCCAGAAACTCCTTTCTGATGAAGGAATTCTCAGTAGGATTTGTTTAGTAATTTATTGGCAGGAATTTACAAACCTAGTTAGAGAAACAGTAATGCCGTTGAAAATTACTGAATCATACCATAATACATAAACTTTCATTGTAGTATAATGTGAGGTCCAACTTTGTTTAATTTGGTGGTGTATTCTGACTCTAGAACAGTCTAGTGTGATAGACACTTAGTAGTTGAATGAAGAATTGCTAAAATCGAAATGCAGATTAAAAGAAACACTGGATTGTGAATATAAAGATTGGATAGTCTACTCTGCTTCATTTTTATAAGTAAGGAAAGTGGGTCCTGAGAGATTGAGTTACAATACATTTTAATAGACTTTAAGAATAGTTTTAGATTTACAGAAAAATTGAAAAGAAGTACAGAGAGAGTTTATATACCACATGTAGTTATTAACATCATCATACGTTGGTATGGTATACCTTAGTGTGGTACATTTGTGTTAACTAAAGCCCATACTTTACTCAGATTTCCTTAGTTTTTACCCGATGGCCTCTGTCTGTTCCACTAGTGCATCCAGGATGATGACACATTACATTTTAGTCACCATGTCTCCTTGGGCTCTTGTAGACTGAGACTTGTGTTGTTTTTAATGACTTTGACCATTTTGCAGAGTACTGGTCAAGTATTTTGCAAGTAGAATGCACCTCTGTTGGAATTAGGTGTTTTTCTCATGGTCAGACCGGGGTTTTGGGTTTTAGGGAGGAAGACACAGAAGTGAAGTGACATTTTCATCACACATTTAGGGTACATATTGTCAACATGATTTACCAGTGTTGATGTTGACCTGAGTCACCTGGCTGAGGTGTTGTTTGTCAGATTTCTCTGTTGTAAAGCTACTCTTTTCCCTCTTTTCATACTGTACTGTTTGGAAGGAAGTCCCTGTATGTGGCCCACACTAAGGGATTATGCCCCCTTTCCTTGAGGGTAGAGTATCCTCAGAAATATTAAATTATTTTAATTCTTCTCCATGAGAGACCTGCCTTTCTCTCTTATTTATTAATTCAGTTATAATATTGGTATAGGCTCATGGTATTTTATACTATGGGCTATAATCAAATGCATCTTTGTTTCTTAAATCGTACCAGCTTTGGCCATTGGGAGCTCTTCCAGTTGGCTGCTGTGTCCCTTTGCCTTACTCCATCAATGTAGAATTGTGTGTGTGTGTGTGTGTGTGTGTGTGATAAGATTGATATCAACATCAATGTAGAGTTTTTATTTTTTTTGAGTACTTCCTTACTTTCTGGAACTTCAAAATGTTTCAGGTTCTTCATCTTATATATTTTCTGCACCAGTCCTAGAATCAGCCTTTTTTCCCCCAAGGAACCTTGGTTCCTTTTATTGGAGAATGGTATTAGAAACTAAAATCTTGGGCTAGGTATGTTCAGTGCTACTAGTATTATGATACATTTTAAAAATAATCGTTTAAGATAATTTTATGAGTACTGTGTAATTCTGTTCCATACTACTCTAATCTCTGTGAATAGAGTATCCAGAAGGCATTGATTGGCATTTCATTAAGCACCAGTCTTTTCCTTGTGGTACCGCTTAGACTTCTGGGCCAATTAGTTATAGTCTAGTTTAAAATTTAAGGTGCTTAACTTTTGGATTTCCAAAAGTTAGAATAAAGGAAAAAAATCCAACAATGTAAGTTAGATATATGCTTAAATTATAGATACTCCATCATTTATTTCTAAGTACTAGCACAGAGGCATTTTTCCTCCTAGGGAAAATTTTAATATGTAATAAAGATAAAAATACGTAAACATCTATTCCCCAAAAGGTAATACACACACAAGGTTCAAAAATAAAAGTAATACAAAAAGACATATGCAGAGAAGTCACATTCTCATCCAGTTTCCATCTAACCTTTTCCCAATGTCCACTTTAGGCAACCATTTATATTAGTTTCTTGTGTATCCTTTAGTATTTCTTTTGTGAATACAAATATATTTTCTCTCCTGTTTTACATATAAATTAGCATCCTAGAAATATATAGTACTAATTGGTTTCTTCAGGTAATATTCTCTGATTATAGAACCAAAACATTTTAGAGTTAAAAGGAGCCTTCTGTTTTAACTCATTTGCTACAGTTTGAATGTTTGTCCCCTTTAAGACTCATGTTGAAACTTAATCCCCAGTGTGGCAGTACTGAGAGGTGGGGCCTTTAAGAGGTGATTGGGTCATGAGGGATGGGTTTATGGATTAATGGGTTATTAACGGGAGTGGGAATGGTGGCTTTATGAGAAAAGGAAGCCAGACCTGAGCTTAGTGCTCTCAGCGATGCCTTGCACTGCCTCAGGACTCTGCAGAGGCCCCAGCAGCAAGGCCCTCACCAGATGTGGTTCCTTGACCTTGGACTTCTCAGTCTCCATAACTGTAAGAAATAAATTCCTTTTCATTATTAATTACCCACTTTCAGGTATTCTAAGTAACAGAAAACAGACTCAATCCATTTATTAAAACTTTTATTGAGCTCCTGTGGATGCTAAGTATCACGTGGGTGGAGATGAATCAAGGAGCTCACTCACAGTCTGGTGAGAAATTCCTTTGACAGCAATTTCTCACTGTGTAGCTTCAGCTGAAATTGAAGATGGGGGTCTTCACTACCTTCCAATATTTTTCTCTTCATTAAACAGTTTCTGTTTTTGTTTTCCTAATGATGAGCTAAAACTTTGTAACTTGTATCTCTTCTGGTTTGGACTTCTGTATTGTAATGAATGATAAGGTAGATTATGTCATCTCTCAGTCCAGTAATCCACAGGCTAGATACAGATCACCAATATAAGAATTTTTTCTTCACTCTTCAATTAATCAAGAGGTATTCCCACCTCACCCCCCTTGACTAATATCTTTTAGGGTTTGAGCGATGAACTTGCCATTGTGGATACTAATGAAGGCAAACTGAAGGGTGAGACAATGGATCTTCAACATGGCAGCCCTCTTATGAAAATGCCAAATATTGTCAGCAGCAAAGGTTAATGTCATAGTTAAATACTATAAATATTCTAATAGTACATAAAAAATATAAGAAAATCATCTTTATTTCCTTTGAACTCCCAGTTTTTATAGTTAAGGCTGGTTGTTCCCTACTGTGTACTCTTATAACATGTTCAGATTCATTAGGTTGTATATTGTTTACACAGTTTCCTCCAGCACAGGACTTGAGTTCTTTGTGAACAGCAGAAATAGTAGTTATCATGATAGCTATCATTAATTAATTGCCAGTTGTGTGCTAATCACTGACTTAAGCACTTATATTTAATCCTGCATACAACTCTGTTTTACAGATGATGTACCTGCAAACTGAGGTTAAATAAAGTGATAGAATAGGGATTTTAATCCAGTTCTATTTGACTCCAAAGCCTAAGCTCTTCACCACTATCTTTTAATTCACTTGGCCCCCAAGAAATAATTATTTGAACAAATGAATGAACCAAGATCTCCTTGTTCAAAGGTCTTTTCTTTCACACCACTTTTGTCTCTAAGTAAATATTCTTCATTTACCAGAATAATCCACATTTTGAACTCTTACTGTAAATAGTACAAAGGATATGTTAGGAGTTTTTGGGTTTTTTTGTTTTTTGTTTTTTTTTTTTTTAAATAGACAGGGTCTCACTGTGTTGCACAGGCTGGACTTGACCTCCTGGGCTCAGGTGATCATCTTGCCTCAGCCTCATTAGCAGCTGCAACTACAGGCATGTGCCACCACTCCTTGCTTAAGTTTTTGTTTTTTGTTTTTGTTTCTTAATGGACAAGGAAAAGAACTAATTTCCTTAAATTAAAAGAGTACTATGAGCATAGTGTAAGATTTTTAAGGGAACCCACTCTTTGGTAAACATAATGTGGTGATTGAGGTGTATAGGAAATGTGTACTTAAATGTCAGATGTTTTCTTTCATAGTCTATTTTTTCTTCAAATCTTTCCCCAGATTATCGTGTCACTGCAAACTCCAATTTAGTGATTATCACAGGAGGTGCACGCCAGATAAAAGGAGAAACACGCCTCGATTTAGTCCAGCGAAATGTGTCCATCTTTAAAGTAATGATTCCCTCTATTATAGAACACAGTCCCCACTGCAAAATGATTATTGTTACCAATCCAGGTCAGCTTTATTTTGACTGTTAAGAGTTTTTGGGGGGAGTGGGTTTAGTAACAACTTTGTAGGAAAGAAGAATTTAATGAATATGAAATCCTATACTACCAGTATAACTCTGGAATCTTTTTTGTTTTGTTGGTATAACACAGTGGCCCCCCACCTTTTTGGCACCAGGGACAAATTTCATGTAAGACAATCCTTCCACTGACGGGGGGTGGGGACTGGGGGATGGCCTTGGGATGATTCAGGCAAACCACATTTGTTTCGTTCGCAGCCGCTCCCCAGCGCCAGCATCATCGCCTCAGCTCCGCCCCAGATTATCAGGCATTAGATTCTCGTAAGGGGCACGCAACCTAGATCCCTTACATGTGCAGTTTACACTAAGGTTCTTGCTCCTATGAGAATCCAATGCCGTTGCTGATCTGATAGGAGGCGAAGCTCAGGCAGTGATGCAAGCCACAAATACAGATGAAGGTTTGCTCGATCCTCCACTGCCTACCTCCCACTGTGCAGGCCCAAGGCAGGGGGTGCCCAATAGGCCATGGACTGAGAATGGGACCAGTGCTGGTCCACAGCCTGGGACTTGGGGACCACAGGTGTAAGATGTTTTTTGCACTGTTGTAATCAGTGTATGTACTATAATGAAGGTTTCTTTAAATATTAGTATATATGAAAAGATAATTTGTTTAATCATATGCTTTCAAGGTTTACATTCTTTTTTTTTTTTTTTGAGACAGAGTCTCGCTTTGTTGCCCAGGCTAGAGTGAATGCTATGGCATCAGCCTAACTCACAGCAACCTCAAACTCCTGGGCTCAAGCAATCCTGCTGCCTCAGCCTCCCGAGTAGCTGGGACTACAGGCATGCACCACCATGCCCAGCTAATTTTTTCTATATATGTTAGTTGGTCAATGAATTTCTTTCTATTTATAGTAGAGACGGGGTCTCGCTCTTGCTCAGGCGGGTCACGTTCTTGCTCAGGCTGGTTTCGAACTCCTGACCTGGAGCAATCCGCCTGCCTTGGCCTCCCAGAGTGCTAGGATTATAGGCGTGAGCCACTGGGCCTGGCCCAAGGTTTACATTCTAAAGGCTGAGGTTTGTATTCCAGATTACAGTGTGAGAAGTGAAAGTAGCACTATAGTTTACTGCCTGACTGTCCGAGATTGTATTAGACTTCTCACTGGTGCATGTACAAGGGGGACAAATTCAAAATGTACTTTATCCATGCCAAAGTACTGTGGGATAAAAAACAACAATAACAACAACAACAAAAAAAACAAAATGTACTTTGGAGATATTCATAAAATGTGCATGACTACTGATAGATTATGTGTAGTAAGGGAGAGGGAGGAATCAAAAGTAACTTCTAGATTTTTCCTTTGAGTAACTGGATAGTAGTTCCATTTACCTGGGTTGGGATTTTCAGTGGGGTGGGAGTCAGTGTGGGAATGTTAGGTATAGGGTAGGAAAATCAAGATTTCCAATTGGAACATGTTAAATTTAAAATATTTGAAAAGAAGAAATGTCAAGCAGGTAGCTGATTATGAGTCTGGAGATCAGTACTTCAGGGGTACTCAAATTATTATACTGTATTTTAAAATCATTTGGAATGGTTTTCTCTGTGGGTAGGCCAAAACCAAATACATGACTAAGTATTTTAGTATTTTATGTATATGTATTTTATTTTAGTCATACATTTTAATTTTGATTCTGAGGAACTGCTAGTTAAATTTTATTTCACAATTTTATAAAATATTTACGTGGCTCCAACATCAAATCTAGAGAATAGGAATTATTCAAAGAAGTCTAGCTTCTATACCCGTCCTCTTTTCCCTATAGCCTCCCATCCCTGTATAGGTAGCCATTTAAAATTTCTATTTTATGGTTTATAGTTTATTATTACTATATACATTTTTCTCTGTTGTCTTTTATTTTTAACTTAATATATTATGAAGCTCACTCCTTAGTAGATTTAGAAATGTGCTGATTAATGTAGCTTTTTGGTAAGTTTTAAAATTAGAAGGGGTTAAATCCTCCAGCCTTGTTCTTTTTTGATTATTTTGGATCTTCCAGGTCATTTGCATTTCCAGATGAATTTAAGAATCAGCTTGTCAGTTTCTGCAACAAAGCCAGCAAGGATTTTGATAGGAATTTCACTGAATCTGCAGACCAGTTTTGATAGTATTTCTATCTTAACAATATTAAATCTTCTGATCAATCATGGGATATTTTCCCATTTATTTAAGTCTTTAATTTTTTTCAGCAAGGTTTTGCAGTTTTCAATGTACTTCCTTCATTACATTCCTAAATTTTTAATTCTTTTAGATACTATCATGGATGGAATTGTTTTCTTAATTTCATTTTTGGGTTATGCATTGCAAGTATATAGAGAAGTAATTGATTTTTATATATTGATCTTGTGTCTTGTCATTGTGAACTCATTATTTATCTCTTAATATTTTAGTAGAGTCTTAGGCTTTTCTATAGACAAGGTCATGTTATCTGTGAATAACATTTTATTTTTCCTTTGTATTCTGGATATCTTTTCTTTCTTTTTCTTGTCTGATTGCCTTTGCTAAGACCTACAGTACAATGTTTCCAAGAAGTGATGAGAATGGGCATCCTTGTCTTGTTTCCAATTTTTGGAAGAAAACATTTAGTCTTTCACCATTAAGTAGAGTAGATGCTCTTTATCATGTTAAGAAAATTCCCTTCTATTCCTAATTTGTTGAGGGTTTTTGTTATGAATAGGTGTGTTTTTTTGTCTCTTTTTTTTTCTTTTTTTTTTTTTAACTTATTTTTTGAATAGGTGTTGGATTTTGTCAAATGTTTTTTTCTGTCTATTGAGGTGATAATTGTTTTTTGGAATTTATTCTGTTAGTGTACTATACTAATATAGTGAAATTAATAGTGAAACTAATATACTATATTAATATAGAGAAATCCTACTTAGTCATGACATAATAATCTTTTCTAATGTTGCTGGAATTGGTTTGCTAGCATTTTGTTGAGGTTGTTTGCATCTATAGTCTTAAGGGATATTGGTCTGTAGTTTTCTTGAGATGTCTTTGTTTTTGGTATAAGAGTAATACCAGTCTCATAGAATGAGCATTGGTGTTCTTTCCTTCTTCATTTTCTGGAAGAGTTTGTGAAGGACTAGTATTCTTTAAATGTTTGGTGGAATTCTCCAATGAAACCTGGGCTCAGGTTTTGCATTTGGGAAGATTTAAAATTATTGATTTAGTCTTACTTGTTGTAAGTCTATACAGATTTTCTATTTGAGTCAGTTTCAGTAGTTTTTGTCTTTATGGAAATTTGTACATTTTATGTAAATTATCTAATTTGTTGGCCTATGGTTATGTTTTTGGTTTTTTTTAAAAGACAGGGTCTTTTTCTGTCACCCAGGTTTGAGTGCAGCAGTGTGATCATAGCTCACTGCAGCATTGAACTCCTTGGTGCAAGCATTGTCCAGCCTCAGCCTCCCAAGTAGTTGGGACTATAGATCCATGCCACTATACCTGGCTAATTTTTAAATTTTTTATAGAGATGTGGTCTTGCTACATTGCCCAGGCTAGTCTCAAACTCCTGGCCTCAAGTGATCCCTCACCTTGGCCTTCCAACGTGCTGGGATGACAGGCATGAGCCATCTTTGTCTCTGGCCTAATTTGTTATTGTATAGTTGTTTATAGTATTCCCATATATTCCTATTTATTTCTCTAAGGTCAGTAGCGATGGTCCCCTTTCCTTCCTGATTTCAGTAATTTGAGTATTGTCTTTTTTTTCTTGGTCAGTCTAGGTTTTTCAATTTTGTTGATCTTTTCAAAGAACCAATTTTTGATGTCAAATAGTTTTCTTTGTTGAACTATTTAATTTTAATTTCCACTCTAATCTTCACTATTCCTTTTCTTCTGTTTCCTTTGGTTTTAGTGTGTCTTTTTTCTTGTTTCTTATGAGCTAAGTTTATGTTACTGATTTGAGATCCTGTTTTCTAGTGGGCATTTATAGCTGTTAATTTCCCATTAAGCACTGCATAAACTGCATCCCATAAATTTTGGTACCTTATGGTTTTGTTTTCATTTGTTTCAAATATTTAAAAATTTCTCTTACGATTTCTTCTTGACAAATTATTATTAGGGGAATGTGTTGATTTCCAGTTATTTGTCAGTTTCTCAGATTTCCTTGTCTAGTTGATTCTAGTTTAATTCTCTTGTGTTCTGAGAATATACTTAGTAGGATTTCAGTTCTTTTAAATTTATTGAGACTTATTTTTTGGCCTAGTGTATGGTCTGTCTTGGAAAACATTCCATGTGTGCTTAAGGATGGATATTCTGCTGTTGGTGGTTCTATAGATGTCACTTAGGTCTATTTGGTTGATAGTATTGTTTAGATCTTCTATATCCTTGATGATTTTGTTACAGCAGCACTAATGGACTGAGATAGTTGTTACTGTCAAATACTTTATATCTCTGTATCTTTTTTTTTTTTTTTGAGACAGAGTCTCGCTTTCTTGCCTAGGCTAGAGTGAGTGCCGTGGCGTCAGCTTAGCTCACAGCAACCTCAAACTCCTGGGCTCAAGCGATCCTCCTGCCTCAGCCTCCCGAGTAGCTGGATACAGGCATGCGCCACCATGCCGGCTGATTTTTTATATATATATATTAGTTGCCAATTAATTTCTTCTATTTTTATGGTAGAGACGGGTCTCGCTCAGGCTGGTTTTGAACTCCTGACCTTGAGCAATCCGCCCGCCTCGGCCTCCCAGAGTGCTAGGATTACAGGCGTGAGCCACCGCGCCCGGCCTATATCTCTGTATCTTAAAAACCCAACAATTAAATTGTATATATTTTTTGCAATTGTGTTTTTTATTTTTTTTTTTTTTTGAGACAGAGTCTCTCTTGTTGACCAGGCTAGAGTGAGTGCCGTAGCGTCAGCCTAGCTCACAGCAACCTCAAACTCCTGGGCTCAAGCGATCCTTCTGCCTCAGCCTCCAGAGTAGCTGGGACTACAGGCATGCACCACCATGCCCGGCTAATTTTTTCTCTATATATTAGTTGGCCAATTAATTTCTTTCTATTTATAGTAGAGATGGGTCTTGCTCTTGCTCGAGCTGGTTCAAACTCCTGACCTTGAGCAATCCGCCCGCTCAGCCTCCGCAGAGTGCTAGGATTACAGGCGTGAGCGCAATTGTGTTTTTAATTCAGGGTTGTGTGTATATATACACACATTATATAGATATTGGAAATTATGCAGTCTTATACAGTTGCTATATAATTGTTACCAGTGCTCTTTATTTTTTCCAGTATGAACATTTTGTCTGATGTGACTTTCTTTCGGCCTGAAGAATTCGCTTTAGTATTTCTTGTAAGACAGGTCTGCTGCTAGCATTGAATTTTCTCATTCTTTATTTGGGACTCTGAAATATAGATTTGCTAGATAGAGAATTTTTGGTTGAGTTTTTCACCTAGCACTTTCAGTGTCATCCACCTGTCTTTTGGCCTCCATGGTTTCAGATTAGGGGTCACTATTGACTTATTTTGGTCCTTTTGTATTTGAAAAGTTGTTTTTCCCTTTGGCTTTTAATAGTTTGACTGTGATGTGTCTAAGTGTGAATTTCTTTCAGTTTATCCTACTTAGAGTTCATTGAGTTTCTTGGATGCATATGTTTTTCATATTTGGGATGTTGCAGCCATTACCTCTTTGAATTTTGTTTCCCCTTTTCTGCGCTCCTTCTAGTGCTACCATAGGTTGGTATGCTTACTCATATTTCACAACTTTCTGCAGCTGTTTGCTCTTCTGCTTCATTTTTAATTTTGATAGTTTTTAGATTATCAAAAATTTTGTATTGGACAATTTTGCCATCTCCATATAAGGAATTTTGTCTATTCCCAAGACCTTGTTTCCCTGTCTTACTGGATAAATTAGGAGGCTCTCAAGGACAATGTTAAATAGAAATAGTGATAGTGGGTATCCTGTCTTGTTCCTGGCTTTAATGAAAATGCTTGTAAGTTTTCTTCATAATGTATGAATTTTTTTTGGATTTTGATAGATATCCTTTTGAGGTAAAGGAAGTTTCCTTCTGTTACTAGATTGTTGAGTTTTATTTTACCCTTTTAAACCCTGAATGAGTTTGGAATATCATCAGGCTTTTTTTACAACAATTAAAATGATTTTATATATATATATATTTATATATATATATAAATAAAATCTTTTTCTTTAAATCTCATGTACTTTAATATATTAACAGACTTTGTAATATTGAACCATCTTTGCATTTCTGGGGTAAAGCCTACTTGAACATGAAGTATTTTTCAAAAATTCCCACTAATTATATTTGCTATTTTATTTAGTGCTTGTGCATCCTGTAAATAAGTGATAGTGCATTTATTATTTTTGTATGTAGTCTTTGCTCAGTTTTGGTGTCAGGGTTATTTATGACAGGGTTACTTATGTCAGTGGTAATTTATGAAATTACCACTAATTTTTTATATCATTTTCTGATAAAGGTCTATTAAAATTGTCCACCATGCTTATGAATCAAATCTACCTTATGACTAATTTTTCATTATTCTGAGGTTATATTGTTAGGTGTATCTAGGTTCATGGTTGTTATATATTGCTGGATTGTTTCATAAATTACTATGTAATATCTCTGTATCATCATTAATGCTTTCCTGTTGAAAATTCTATTTTGTTTGCTAGCTACATTGACCTTCTTTTGGTTAATAATAGTAACCATTTTAACAATTCAAGAATAAAATTCTGATAAAGCTAATGTTTACAATAATTCCCACATCCAAACATCAGACTGTATCAAAAATTTTTCCCTTGCCTACCAAGACAAAGGTCTGATTATGTTTCTCTGATAGTTAATATCCTATCCATATTGTTTCTATTTCCCTCTTAACTAAGCTTCTTGTTGAAAATGGGTTATTTTCTGAGAAATATTATTTAAAAGATTTGATAAAGGAGTAATTTCTATTGGTAGATATTTTTGGAGTTGTATATAGTTACAATTGGATGGAGTACCATGTTTTTTTCCCCCTACAAAACACTAGATTTAGTAGGGTTTTTTTCCTTTTTGACAGCCATCTGATGAAGATACTAGTTTTACTATGGGTAAATCTAAAAAGAACAGGAGGTAGGAGGATCTCTTGAGCCCAGGACTTCAAGGTTACAGTTGACTATGAGTGGGCCACTGTACTCTAGCCTGGGCCACAGAGTGAGACCCTGTCAATGAATGAATAAATAAATAAACAATCATTTAAGATGAGAACTTTTTCTGACTTACACTTTTTCTTCTTAGTGGATATCTTAACTTATGTAGCCTGGAAATTGAGTGCAGTTCCCAAAAACCGTGTTATTGGAAGTGGCTGTAATCTGGACACTGCCCGTTTCCGTTACTTTATTGGGCAAAAGCTTGGTATCCACTCTGAGAGCTGTCATGGGCTGGTCCTTGGAGAGCATGGAGACTCAAGTGGTAAGCCTAAAGCACCGTTGAGACCTGCATCCTCTCTAAAACATATTTGACCATATTATCAATTATAGATTTACTTATAGTGTAAAATAGCTCCTGGGTGGGGAGAAAAAACTTTATTCCAGTTTAGGCCCTTTTAGTTGTGCTTACTTTTAGCACGTTTATTGTTTTTATAATAAAATAATAGGAAATACAAATTTGAAAAACATGAGATTGCTACTATAATCCTACATTATGAAGTGCTAAGATTATAATGCTTTCTTAATACAGAACTAAGTAACATGTTATAGTTTTTATCTTGGGACACTCTAGTTCAGAAAGTCAGCATTATAATTCAGGCAACATGAAGTCTTCAGACTAAGGGATGGATATAACTGGAGAATATTAAGGGAAGAAGGGTGCTGTGGTGATAGCAGTCTTCTTTTCCTTTAGTTTCTTCTGGCTAAAAATGTTTGAAATCCATGTAATATAAACCCTGGCTATAGAAAGAAAAGGCAGAAAAGCTGACCAGGCATGGTGGCTTGCACCTGTAATCCTAGCACTCTGGGAGGCTGAAGTGGGAGGATCGTTCAAGGTCAGGAGTTCGAAACCAACCTGAGCGAGACCCCATCTCTACTAAAAATAGAAAGAAATTAATTGGCCAACTAAAAAATTTGCCGGGCATGATGGGGTAGATGTAGTCCCAGCTACTCAGGAACCTGAGGTAGAAGGATTGCTTGAGCCCAGGAGTTTGAGGTTGCTGTGAGCTAGGCTGACGCCACAGAAATCTAGCCCAGGCAACAGAGTAAGACTCTGTCTCAGAAAAAAACCAAAAAACAAAAAACAGAAAAGCTAAAAGTTACTTGTAGTTGAAAGCATAAAACTGCCACTTTGTTTGGAGAATCTATGCCAAGATGATAGCATTGTGGATCCCCATCTGTGGAGATTTTGATTTAGATCTGGAAGGGGTATGGCTTGGACATCTGAATTTTTTTTGATAGTTCTGTTGAACATTCCTACTTGAAAACAGTTTTGCTAAGGTCAAAAAAACCTCCCTCAAAACCAAAACCCTGCTATATAACACAATACAATACATGGATTTTTCTTGGTATCTCCTAGTTCCTGTATGGAGTGGAGTGAACATTGCTGGTCTCCGTCTGAAGGATCTGAACTCCGCTATAGGAACTGATAAAGATCCTGAGCAGTGGGAAGATGTCCACAAAAGAGTGGTTTCCAGGTAATATGATAGTTTCATATATTTATATTTGTAAGTTGTTAACCTGAATTCTGCCAGAGGGATGTGATTAGTCCCTTAAGTATATGTTGTTATATTTTCTATACTTTTTTTTTTTTTTTGAAGTTTGAAAGTTTTATTTTTACAAATCACAGCTGATAGACAGCAAAGCCTTCACCCGTAGAGATCATGTTCCAACTTGGGCCTGGGTCACTGCTCTGTAGGAAGAGCTGCTCCCAGGAGAGGGGGTGGCGCAGCAGACAGCAACTGCCAAGTCCAAGGTCCTGGGCGGAGAGGGGTTGCGGGCCTCAGCCAGAGCAGCCCCGGCAGCCACAGTGCGTGCACTCGATGATGCGGCCCACTTCCAGCTTGCTTTTGGGGACCCGGCAAATGCAGTTTGTTCCAAAATTGGTATCCCGTGTCTGAATGCACCACAGGCAGCACAAGTTCTCATACCCTTGCTTTTTCCATTTTGCAATCAGGTTTTTGTCTGCATACCCTTCTTTAATACAACATTCATATAGTTCTCTGCTTATGGCTTTCCGTTTATAAAAGAGGTCAAAGATATAGCGGGTTTTCTGGTGGTAGATCCTGAAGATGGGCCACAGAGATTCCACTTTCCTCTTGCCCTCATGAGGCTCTGTTTCAGCTTCTCTCATCTTTTGGTCTAATTCATCCAGTGTTGGTTCGATCAATTCCCAGCCATCTGGAGGTGCTTTCCGGCTTCTTTTGACTTTAGGCATTTCCCGCTCCCCCCCCCACAAGATAATGCATAAAGATCTTAGAATTTGCTTCCCAAGAGTGTAACAGAAAGATCTCTGGTCTCTGCAGTTACAGGCTTGGATTCTTGTCCAGCCCTAAAAATTATTCTGTGACATTGGAAAGGTCTCTTTTCCTCCTTTCTTCAGTTTCATCAGAAGACCCCGCACCTCAGGCCGCTGCTTCTCTACTCATATTTCCTATACTTTTATTAGCACTTCTTTTATTTTTGTGAGCATATTCACCAGGTTATAAATTCTTAAGCAGTCAGGGATTGATTCTGTTTTGGTGATTGCTGAGCTGATCCCAGTGTCTAGCATGTACTAGGGACTCACCTGTTGACCAACAATGTATTTTTTCAAATACGTGCTGTGTAATGTTTACTGTTAGTGGTGGAATTGATTGCATATTAATTTCTGGATCTCTGTTCTTACTTTAACCACTAAAAGAAATTCCTAGGAGAAATTATTGACGGAAACATTTTAGTTTTGTGGCAAGCCAGATAGTTTGCCACAAAGTGGATGTTTGATGACGTGTTTCTTCCAAACTAACTTATGTTCATGATTTCTTCTTACTCTACAGTGGCTATGAGATGCTTAAAATGAAAGGTTATACTTCTTGGGGCGTCAGCCAATCTGTAACTGATATAACAGAAAGTATTGTGAAGAATCTTAGGAGAGTGCATCCAGTTTCTACCCTAAGTAAGGTATGATATTCATGTTTGAAAAATCATTATTTAACTTTAACATAAAAGAGGGGATAAAGAGCATTTGGGGGGACCCTTAATTTTTGATTTTGACCTTCTGGAAATACCTCTCTTCTTAAAAGTTTGTTCTTTGCTGCTGCTGAAGGTGGGAGGGTGGGGAAGGAGAGACCTATCATTGTAGACCATTGTCCTGGCCTCGTGTGATAGTTCTTATTATATTATTAGATAAAAACAAGTCTTTCTTGCATCTTTATTGTTTAACTGAGTGACCTAACTCTACAAATGTGGTAACATTGGGAACCACGGTGCGTAGATCTTGTCACATTTGGAGTTGTCCTCTAACAGTTTCAATTATGTCCAATGAAGAGACCTGGGAAAGCAGCACTATCACAAAAGAATTAGCAGTTAGTCTCCTGGGGACAAGGAAACTGGGGCAAGAGTAAGATCCCACTGCTAGTCTGAAGGGGAGAGGTTAAAACAAAATGGAACTAAATCATAGGAAATAAAGTTACAGGAATTTTGAAGTGGTCCCCTGATAGGAAGTGGTTTGGATTAAGTTGATAGGAAAAGGAATGTGGGCCTGAGCAAACATGGCAAAAGGCTGGAGCCAGTGACTGATGAAACTGAACAATAAATGTGTCGAATCATATTTTAAATTGTTCTGTCGTGGCGCTCTATTTCTGCCATAATTCAGACTACCAATCCATTAAATACTCATTCACCCAGCAACTATTCTTTCTCATAATACAGACCTTTGTTAGAAGAAAAAGGAGTAATTTTTAAGTCTTTAATTTCAGGGCCTCTATGGAATAAAGGAAGAAATATTCTTTAGTATTCCATGTATCTTGGGAGAAAATGGTGTCACAGACCTTATAAAGTTAAAGCTGACCCCTGAAGAGGAGGCCCGTTTGCGAAAGAGTGCAGACACACTTTGGAACATTCAGAAGCAGATCAAGCTTTAAAGTTCTATACCATCCGGAAGCTATCTAAGAAAATAGTAGTTATGGAATTGTATGTGTCAAACTTTTGAATAAATTTGAATTTCTGAAACCTGTAAAAAGGAAAAGGGGAAGTGTAACTGCCGTGCTTATTTTGCTTTACAGCTCTTTAGTGTCCAGATGATGGATGATATTTTTTTCCACAATTCCCAAGTGAGTGCATCAGAGGTGTTTTGGTACCTCTGATACACTAGTACTTGCTTTGTATATGTGGTTGTTATTCAGTTCAAAAGAATGTGCTTATTCTGTTATAGATATTCTGATTCTTTTCATCAAGTGCATGGTAAATTCTTTCATTCTGGCTGCCTTATACCTAAGTTCATTTATATGCTATTTAAAAAAAGTTGTAACTTCCTCTATAATGTAAAAACAAAAGTATATACATATAAAAGTAATCTGTTAGTTTCTAATACTAAATAAAACCTTGATTTGACTTTGATGGTTTCTTTCTGGTATTCTTTTTGAGTAGATTTTTATTTTTAAAGAAAAGGTTTAAACTGTATAAACCCCTTGATGATGACTAAGACTAAATTAATCATTTATGGGCTGCCTGATTTCCTAAATATCTTTTTTTTTTTTTTTTTTTGAGACAGAGTCTCACTCTGTGGCCCAGGCTAGAGTGAGTGCCGTGGCGTCAGCCTAGCTCACAGCAACCTCAAACTCCTGGGCTCGAGTGATCCTTCTGCCTCAGCCTCCCGAGTAGCTGGGACTACAGGCATGCGCCACTATGCCCGGCTAATTTTTTTTTTTTTATATATATATCAGTTGGCCAATTAATTTCTTTCTGTTTATAGTAGAGACGGGGTCTCGCTCTTGCTCAGGCTGGTTTTGAACTCCTGATCTTGAGCAATCCGCCCGCCTCGGCCTCCCAAGAGCTAGGATTACAGGCGTGAGCCACAGCGCCCGGCCATCTGTTGTTTTAATGTTCTGATTTTGGTTGGTATCCACTGCTAGAGAGCTGGTGCTCAGTTTTGGGGGTGAGTTTTTACTTTGATTCTTCATACTTCTGGAGTTCTTTAGCTGATTCCTTCCCATCTGGTGCTGCTGTTGCTTCTTAATTTTGGATTTTCTCTTTAGATAATTTAATTCCCTAAATATCTTAAAAGAGAAAAACACCTCAAAATATTTTCTTTATATCCTCATGAACTTTCTAGCACTCTCATTTTGATAGAAAACATTCTGTTCTGTATGGGCTCTGCAGAACATACAGCAGCTATGTAGCTCATTGCCTGGTGACATACTCAGCTAGAGAATTGTCATTTAAAGTTTCCTCTTTATGTCAATAAAAGCAGGGAGTCTGCCCAATAGCTTGTGCTGTGCATTGATGATGAATCCATTTTGCTCTTGTGTGATGAGGAAAACTTTAAAGTACTGAAAGTTTGTTTTACTTTACAGGCAGCTTTACTTGTAATGTAAATATCAGAATAGGTAACATATATGTTCTCATTATGTTATTTTTAAATGTTCACAATTTTATTTTGATAAATGAAAAATTAGAAAAGTCATATCATGGCTGTCAGCTACAGTCGACACTTGGCTGTGCACCTTCATATCACGGTTGTTGGCTAAAGTCACTGTGCGCGTTCATCTGTGGCTGTCGACTACAGTTGAAGCTTGTCACGAAGTGGTTAATTGAGGCCCGACCATTTGCCTAGTTAATGTAAGTTCTCAGGTATATAGCTTGGTACTTGCCTTTGTGCTGCTTCTTGATGACAACAGTTATGTTTCAGTGAGGCTGAGAAAGGAAACAAATCTAGCAGGGCCTTGTGGGAGGGTACCACCTTGGACCTAACACAGAAAAAAGTCACTCAAATCCCTCAATTTTAAATATTTCAAAGTTTAGATTTCCATTCGTCATAACCTGTAGTAAATAGAATTCACTTTATATGCTATAGAGTAAATAATACTAAACTTTGACTTAAGATAGATATGTGTTGTTTGCTAAATGAAAAGCTGGGCTTATTAAGGTTTCATGGATGTTTCCTAAAGAAGACCAATAAAGAAAAGAAAAATTATGCAACAAATTTTATTTAGCATAGTCAGTCCCAACATTCAGCACAAAAAGGTTACAGAGGATAGAAAGTGCATTAATAAAAGCCAGTCTTTACCAAAAGAAAACAGAAAATATATTATTGATTCAAAATATTTTACACTTGAATGATAAACTGCAATAACTTATTCTGGGCACCTACTGATAAGAGAACGAAAGAGAAGAAAAGAATGTTTTAAGACGAGCTCAATCTCCAGCTGATTATCAGAGAAGTCAGTAGAGGTCACTGAGACCGGCAGTCTTTCTTGCTTTTTGCATTAGTGCCCTCAGCTGGAACTGTTTACGGGACAGAAGACGTACATGCTGGGAGGGGGGAAAAGTTTCAATAGTTTAGAATGGCTTCAATCCAGACGTAGGCATGAAGTATCAAGACAGTCTGTAACCAAGTGGGATCTAAGAACCCGAGCCTCATGAAACCTTCCTTTAGAACTAATACCTTGGTACATGTGATTTTTTTAAACTCCACCACATGATGAGGGCTTACTCAACAAGGAAGCACCATATTGCAGGATCTGGCTCAGGAGTTTGAGCTATATCTTGAATTAACCAGTATGTTAGAGAAACTTGTCTTATGCTAACAAACGTTACCAAAAATAGTTGTTAACTATGAAGTTCCCCACTTGGCTAAAAGAAGGGAAACAGCAAGGATAAACATCACAGAGCCAGCTTTCATCCCTAGTCTAGTGCATCTTTTCCTAAGCTATGCCACCCACACAGGGGACTGTACACAAAAGGAGTCCTCTTTTGAGTCTCTCGTTTATATCCAGCCATTCATGTGCTTGCACCAGTTCTAAGGCACATGGTTTGACCACATTCACCCCCAGGCAAGATCAGGCAAGACAGGCAAGATCAGCAAGTGACCTGACCAGCCCTGCATGTATACTGAGGCTCTAGCAGCAGCTAGATCAAATATTGAAAGGGTAGCTACTATTATTCCTTAAGCCATGTTCTCTATGACCCAACAAACAGCAGTAGCCAAACTTGGCTTACTAGATCTTAATGTTTGTACAAGAGTATTAAGCCTGAGACAACCTTCATTCAAGCGGGATCTAAAGGGCAGCCTACTACCTTGAAGGGCTGTTTGATCTGGGAAAACTGGTCTAAAATTATACAACTCTAAGAAAATTAACAGATAAAAAATGGTGGGACAATCAGTGATCTCAGTTTAGGTGGTATGACCCGAAAGAACCAATGGGAATCTGATTGTGGCTCCTAATGCACCCAGGCTTAGTACTGGAAGAGGAGAATTACATTCATCTTGATGGTAGGTGGGGAACTGCAGCCACTAGCCACTTTTCTTCTGCTACTCAGACCAATCCTCAGCACTCTAAAGGTGAGAAGACACTGCTTCAACCATACTTCTCACTTGCTCTCTATTGGGATGATAATCTTAACCCACTGTACAGAGAAACAGTGGGTTTGTGTACAGAGAAATAGTGATTTGTGGTTTTTAAGGTCAATGCCTCTACAACACAAGTTTAAAAATACTAGAAAGCACAATGAGGAAGACATACCTTCAGGAAGACATCCAGGTCTATTACTCCTCGCCTTAAGGCTTCTCCTAGGTAAAAGATAGTGTCTTCAATAGCATTTTCTTCTGCATACAGATTTAAAATCTGTTTGTATAGTGGGGCTGTAGGAATGATAACTTCATCAATATCATTGTTTTCAGACTGATTTTCCATTTTCTCCAGAGCAGAACTGAGTTCTTCATCCTTCTTTTTCAAAAGTTCTATGTTTTTATCAACTTCAGCCTGAAAACAGAACAGTCCAAGCATGATGGCTTTATATAAATTGTACATAATTATCCACTTGTCAGATATCTACAACTCAATTTCACAGAAAAAGACTGGCTAATAAAGTAATGTTTAAACAAGTCATGATGAGAATGTTTTGAATAACACATTGGTCAAAGGTAGAAGAAAAGGTGTGATCTAATATGCTGAGTAAAAATAGGACAATGGTGGAAATACCCTGGGCTGAGCACTTTCAGTGACAAACTTGTCACTTATCAGTGGCAAATGATTACAAACTAAGCCATCAGATAAAATTGCAACAGGTTTCCTTACAGAGAAAATCATAAAAAGGTTTTTTTCTAGCCGGGCGCGGTGGCTCACGCCTGTAATCCTAGCTCTTGGGAGGCCGAGGCGGGCGGATTGCTCAAGGTCAGGAGTTCAAAACCAGCCTGAGCGAGAGCGAGACCCCGTCTCTACTATAAATAGAAAGAAATTAATTGGCCAACCGATATATATATAAAAAAAAAATTAGCCGGGCATGGTGGCACATGCCTGTAGTCCCAGCTACTCGGGAGGCTGAGGCAGAAGGATCGCTCCAGCCCAGGAGTTTGAGGTTGCTGTGAGCTAGGCTGACGCCACGGCACTCACTCTAGCCTGGGCAACAAAGTGAGACTCTGTCTCAAAAAAAAAAAAAAAAAAAAAGGTTTTTTTCTTCCTAAGAAGTGGGCATCTGCTACAAAGGCATACCTTTCCCCAGTATATGCAGAGGATTCGAGGCGCAGAGCCCCAAACACTTGAATTCTCGTTATAAGATACTGTGGGTAGTGGTTGTAGGCTCTGAATCATACTGGTGTCACTTTCCTAGAACTTGTGAAAAGAACTGGGTACTGTGAACCTCACTTTACACACTAGCCCAATTTTATAAGGCTGTCTACATATAAATCACTTTCCACAAAGACCTCAAACTTCCAAGAACTAAAATGCCCATTTATTGGAATAAATTCTCCCTCATGGGGATGAAAAGTGGAGAGTGAAGCTGGCGCTTCAGTTATGCTGGCACCAGCAAAGCACAGCAGTCTGCTATAAATATGAGAAAGCTTAAAGAGCTAAATTTGCATATGTTTATACACAGCTCACAAGTCAACCAAATTATCTCTGGATTATTAAGTTAGAAGGTTTGCTAAAGATACTTTTAAAAATGGCTTACACCACATTTGGAAACAATAAACTAGAACTATCTCCTAAGTCTGCACCAAGGGTCTACAGATTTTTTTTTTTTTTGGAA